CCCTGAAGGCTCCTGCAGCTCCTGGATCTCGGCGTCTTCCTCTTCCTCCATTTCTGCCCCGGGGACGACCACCACCCCGGGGAGCATGGACTGTGAGCATGGACCCCCAGGTAGTGGTCCAGTGACTCAAAGTGAGGGCAGGCCTCTGGGTTGGCCCCTGGTTGGGAGGCCCTGGTGTAGGCCTGCCGCAGGTCCTTAAATTTGCAGCAGACCTGCTCCTGGGTCCGCACGTGGCCTCTGGTGTGCAAGCTGGCAGCCATGCAGCTGTAGATGGCTGCATTCCTGTGCCTAGTGCAGAGATTGTGAACATTGGAGGCCTCCCCCAAAACCTTGATGAGGTCCACGATCTCCACACTAGACCAGGTGGGAGCCCATTTTTGTGGCCCGGGGCAGGCTCCTGTGAGCCACCAGTCTGGTCCTGGGAAGAGGTCGAGGGCTGGGTGGCAGTGGGTGGCTGGCTCATCTCGTGCCAGGTGCAGGGTCTGCTGGTTGGGTGCTGGCAGGCTTGCAACTGGCACAAGCACTGTAGCCAGACCATGCCCCTTTAAGGGCTCCGGGGCCAGGAGGAGGGCAGAAAAGTTTCCCTGGTTTGGCCCAGACTGTCCACCTGAGCAACCTGGGAAGGGCTAGCCTCCAACTAGTTTGAATTAAGTGGCTACACAGCCCTTAATTCGAACTACTTAATTAGAACTAGGCGTTACTCCTCGTAGAATGAGGTTTACCTAGTTCAAATTAAGCGCTCCACTAGTTCGATTTAAATTCAAACTAGCGGTTTGTATGTGTTGCCCCATTAAAGTTAATTCGCTGTTAGTTCGAATTAACTTTGTAGTGTAGACATACCCTAAGGGCTTAATCCTATTTTTTCTGAAGTCAGTAGCAAAAAAAAACCCATATATTTTAATATTGTGGGATCATTCCAAGTACCAGTAAATAAGGCAAAGAGACACAGTGCACTTACTTTTTCAGAACAATTTCAGAAGCACCTTTGCTGTACATTCGGAAACTGCCGTCTGCCATTTTTATCACAGTGCTCATTGACTTTCTCACAGAGTTAAATGTGTATACTTTGTAGAGTTTCTCCTCAGGGATTAGATTCCGAACAGGCTGGTAATCCTGCTTCAGTTCCAGGACAAACCCCAGCAGGCCACATTCTGTCTTGTTGCCAACCTGACGCGGCAGGCCACCTTCCTTTTCTGGTGGCTGAAGGGAAGAAAGCATCAGATTTCAGCCTCTCGCTCGCTCATGTTTGGCTGTATCCTGTACTTTTAAAGCCCAGGCTACTAGTTAAAATCTAAAACCTTTATGATAAAGTCAGAGCTCATCAAATGTTAAAGATCCAGTAGAAGTTTCATAGATTTATAACAGACTGAAAACAATCTATTTCACAATGGAGCAATATTTTCTTTTTAAATGACCAGTGTACAGGCAGTCCCCGGGTTACGTACAAGATAGGGACTGTAGGTTTGTTCTTAAGTTGAATCTGTATGTAAGTCGGAACTGGCGTCAGCCGCTGCTGAAACTGATCAGCGGCTGATTCCAGGAAGCCTGGGACAGAGCAACTCTGCCTCGGGCTTCCTGTAGTCAGCCGCTGGTCAGTTTCAGCAGCGGCTGACGCCAGTTCCGACTTACATACAGATTCAACTTAAGAAACCCAGGCGTCCCCAAGTCAGCTGCTGCTGAAACTGATCAGCGGCTGATTCCAGGAAGCCTGGGACAGAGCAACTCTGCCTCGGGCTTCCTGTAGTCAGCCGCTGGTCAGTTTCAGCAGCGGCTGACGCCAGTTCCGACTTACATACAGATTCAACTTAAGAAACCCAGGCGTCCCCAAGTCAGCTGCTGCTGAAACTGATCAGCGGCTGATTCCAGGAAGCCTGGGACAGAGCAACTCTGCCTCGGGCTTCCTGTAGTCAGCCGCTGGTCAGTTTCAGCAGCGGCTGACGCCAGTTCCGACTTACATACAGATTCAACTTAAGAAACCCAGGCGTCCCCAAGTCAGCTGCTGCTGAAACTGATCAGCGGCTGATTCCAGGAAGCCTGGGACAGAGCAACTCTGCCTCGGGCTTCCTGTAGTCAGCCGCTGGTCAGTTTCAGCAGCGGCTGACGCCAGTTCCGACTTACATACAGATTCAACTTAAGAAACCCAGGCGTCCCCAAGTCAGCTGCTGCTGAAACTGATCAGCGGCTGATTCCAGGAAGCCTGGGACAGAGCAACTCTGCCTCGGGCTTCCTGTAGTCAGCCGCTGGTCAGTTTCAGCAGCGGCTGACGCCAGTTCCGACTTACATACAGATTCAACTTAAGAAACCCAGGCGTCCCCAAGTCAGCTGCTGCTGAAACTGATCAGCGGCTGATTCCAGGAAGCCTGGGACAGAGCAACTCTGCCTCGGGCTTCCTGTAGTCAGCCGCTGGTCAGTTTCAGCAGCGGCTGACGCCAGTTCCGACTTACATACAGATTCAACTTAAGAACAAACCTACAGTCCCTATCTTGTACGTAACCCGGGGACTGCCTGTAATTCCTTGCCACCTTTTAATCCTCCGGATATTGAAGATTTTGTGATGGTTATGATATTTGTCATTACAAGTAAATAAATGTATTTTTCTCAGGATCAGTATATCTAATTCACTTTACTCACGAACAGAACAAAACATTTCCCCCTTTTCCCTCTTGTAGTGATTTCACATTTTTCACAGTGTGCTGAGTATTTTAAGGTAACATTCATCTGCTATAATTTTGAACCTCGTTTGTTTTTAAAAATAAATCTACATTTAATCAGAAGAATAAATCACTAGTAATATTTCCAGTGATTCATGAATATAACATCTGTATAAATAATTAAACACCTATAAATATCTGAATTACTGCAGTATTTCAGTCTCCTGCTTCAGACTATAAATGCTGTATAAGGAAAAGAGGGGGTTAACTTATGATAATTATACTATCCGGCAAGTCCAGCAATTCTTAATGGTACTAGCTTTAGAGCAGGCCTGGGCAAAATACCCTCCATGGGCCGGATTCAGCCTGCCAAGCTGCCAGATCCAGCCTGTGGACTCCCCACCTGCTTCCTACACCCACCCCCATGCTGCTGAGAAATACAGCTGTTGGAGGGCTGTTGGAACAGCTGTTAGACCAGGGGAGGGAAGAAAGGGTTTGCGTGCTGCTCCCACCCCCAGCACAATCCCATTGGCTGGTTTCTGGTGATGGGAGATGCCTGTTAACAGGCAGCTTTGGAAGCACCCTTCCTACCCTCCTCTTAGGCGCCTACGTCTTCAAAAACCACATGGCCCCTTGCAGCCAGTGTGAGGACAGGGAAGATCGGGAGTCTCCTTGAGAAGCCTGCTGTCAGAGAGTCAAGCAAGTAAATCTCTTTGCTCCCCTACCCCACATAACCCAAACCCTCTCCCCTTCTCCTGCTTTGATTTAGTTGGGATTGGTCCTGCCTAGAGCAGGGGGCTGGACTTGATGACCTTCTGAGGTCTCTTCCAGCTCTATGGTTCTTTGATTCTGTGATTCCCTATCTCCTCCCAGATCCTGCACCCCAATCGCTTGCCCCAGATCACAACCCAAACCACTGCACCTCAGTCCCCTGTCCGAAGCACAACACCCTCCTGCCCTAGGTGAGAGCCCAAACCCTTCCACCCTCCCTCCTGCTCCCTAGCCCCCTTCCCCAGATCACAACCCCCTCTTGCTCAATGTCACAACCAAAACCCCTGCACCCTAGTTCCCTAACCCAGGTCACAATTGCCTCCTTCACACAAACACCCTCCCAGACCCCAGACCCTCTCCTGCACCCTAATTCCTTACTGCAAGCTCCCTTCTGCACCCAACCTCCATCCCAGACCCTGCACCGCCTCCATTAATATCATGGAAAAGTGCAGCCCTTGTTCACTTTCCAAATTCTTGGCGTTGCCCCCCCCCCTGAAATTATTGCCCACCCCACATTAGAGGAATTTTTATTAGAACATATTGATCCTTTCTTGCTCATGTAAAAAAGCGTAAAAAGAAAACATTAAAATTAATATGGGTTATCAGCTGTAATCAAGTAAACAATTGTTCTCTCATTAATAATACTCCAAAACACTTTAATGGTCAAGTTTACTAACTGAAAATTATTGAGGTCTTCATTCATCTTGCATTTAGCAAAGTTATCAAGTCAAATTCAGCCTTTGCATAAACAGACAAAACTCCATTGAAATCACTGAAGTTGGTGAGTTAATCCACAGCGACTAGATGTGAAGAAAATCCTTTCTCAATTTTGATTTGTAATGTTTTGCAATATTTGAAATAAACCGTTTGAGCAATAATTTAAGTCATTGTCTTCAAGGAGACTTAAGTGCTTTGCTGAATCAAATGTTTACTTAAGTGGTTTTTTGCATGCATAAATATATCCAGACTTAACTTTTTTTTATCTGTTTCAGACACCATGGCTGTGTCTACACTGGGCCACTTATTCCAGAAAAGCATCCTGCCAATGTAGACGCTCTTTTTCCGGAAATACTTATAACGGAAAACTGTTCTGTTTTAAGCATTTCCGGAAAATCATGCCAGTGTAGACATAGCCATACAGTGGTTGATTTTCTACTGCGTGCATGTTTTTGGTGCCATGACAAGCTAGCAACTGGACACTGGAAAAAACACATCTATTTGCATTTTATAATATCTGTAAATGAAGACAGTGTCTATATTACATTTTTCTTCGCTCCTCAGCCCCTCAGTTCTCACTCCCCTTTTACACTTTTTACCTGGGATCTGAAATCAGGTTTGATTTTAGTTATCAGCTTGTTTTGAATAGAAATATGTAAACAAGAAAAATATTTCTAGTGACACGAAAATGGCTGCACCGCACCTTTAGCAGAAGAGCCTTTATCTGGCTTTCTTTAATGGCAGAAAGGCATAAATGCTGATTTATCCGCCAAGTGAAGGGAAAAGAGGGGAGATGATACAGGTGCAAGCCAGGCAGGAGAAACCCTCTTTCACTTGGACCAAGTAGAGCAGTGATGAAATGTGATGAAATAACAAGATGGGTCAGGATCCACTGTGGGCACTGTGCTAGTCACTCCTTGCTCTAGCAGCTGGGAAGGAATTTTTTCCTCCCTGCCAGATTGGTCAAAGCAGAATCCCTGGGGTTTGCTGACGCCAGGTTTGAAGGGGCCTTAGTGGAGGTGAAAATGGAATTGGTGTAAGGTAGGATGTCACGACTCGTTATGTAAGAGCAGGGCAGATGCCCAATGCCAGTGCTCGGTAAGGAAGGGATTCAGAGCTCAGATAAATGGTTTGGTGAAGGAGATGTTTTTTAAAGGAGCAGAAACAGCGGTTTGGTGTTCCGATGATGACATGGCAGGAAGCCAATATTTCCCTCCTTTATAGCCCATCTTAATCCTCATTCAAGGGAGTAGGGATGGTCAGCTCCCAATGTCACTGAGGTGCGGGGAGTCAATGGGCCCTGCACTCCCATTCACAGCCAGATGTGACTCTTAGACAGCAGGCTGGACAGAAGGTTTATTAGTTGACAGGGAGACAGTGTGGAGCAGACTTGTCAGCACAGAAACGAGAAGCAGTCAGTACCATCCATCCTGGGGAGGGTCTGCAGAGTCTCACTCACACATCCAGCAGCCCATCTCCCCCTGAAGCCAGCCCTCACTGTGTCCAGCGTCCTGGGCAAATGGTGTTCCCTGGTCACAGTCCCCATCTCAGGCTCAGGTTAATGGAAAGACAAATGTAGGGCTATGTCTACATTGCATTCCTCTTCCGAGAGAGAGGAATTCAGATACAGACAAGTGAAATTGCAAATGAAGTGCAGATTTGAATTTCCCGTGCTTCATTTGCATAATCACGGACCAACGCTTTTCTGAAATAGCGTATTTCGAGAAAAAAATGCGGTCCCCATGGGGTTATTTCGAGAAAAAACCCTTCCTTTGAAATAACCCTTACTCCTGAGGAGTTATTTCGAAAGAAGGGTTTTTTCTCAAAAGAACCCCACGGGGACTGCATTTGTTTTCTCGAAATATGCTATTTCGGGAAAATGGCAGTCCACGATTACGAAAATAAAGAGTGGAAAATTGAAATCCGTGCTTTATTTACAATTTTGCTTGTCTGCATTTACATTCCTCTCTTGGAAGAGGACTGCAATGTAGACATACCATACGCGAGGAAGACTGTCACTCCAAAATTCCCATCTCCACCTCGCTATTTGTGCAGTGTCAG